ATAGAGTTCTGTACTCTTGGCTTCAGCCTGGCCCTATCCCATCTGTTGCAGCCATTTGGAGAGTCAACAAACAGATGGAATATCTCTTTCTCACTCTGTCTCTCCCTCTCTCTCTGTTACTCTGCCTTTCAAACAAATAAAATTAATCTTTTTTAAAAAGATTTGTGGCCAGAGCTGTGACATAGCAGGTAAAGCTGCCCCTGCAGTGCCGGCATTACAAATGGGCACCACTTAGAGTCCTGGCTGCTCCATTTCTGATCCAGCTCTCTGCTAAGGCCTGGGAAGGCAGTAGAAGATGGCCCAAGTCCTTGGGCCCCTGCACCCAGGTGGGAGACCCGGAAGAAGCTCCTGGCTCCTGGCTTTGGATTGACGCAGCTCCAGCTGTTGTGGCCATCTGGGGAGTGAACCAGTAGATGGAAGATCTCTCTCCCTCTCTCTCTCTCTTTCTTTCTCTCTCTCTCTCACACTTTCTCTCTCTCTCTCTCTGCCTCTGCCTCTCTGTCACTCTGACTTTCAAATAAATAAAATAAGTTCTAAAAAGAAAGTTATGAAATCTAATGAAAGATGTGCTAGCTATTCACACAGATAATTCTATAACAAGAGATGTTAAAGAAGACTTAAGTAAATTGACCCACTATTTTTGTGGATTGGAAAATTCAGTATCATAAGTACGTCAATTTTGTCAAAATTAAATCTATATTTTCAATGTCATCTCAATAAAAATTGCCGTTTCCTGTGAAATTGACAAACTGTGAACTATAGAGAGAAATGAAATGGTGATGATTTTTTTAAAAGAACAAAGCTGAGACTTATTCTATCAGATTCCAAGACCTAGTTAGTAAGACACTGTAGTATTAGCATGAGGAGAGCCAAATAAACAATATAGTAGGACAGAGTCAAGAAACATTTTCACACTTATACACGGTAACCTGCTTTATGACAAGGTGCCATTGGCAAGCAACGTAGTCCAGGAAATGGTATAAATTTCAGTAAGTACAATGAAAATAATATAGGAAATGATCTTCATGACTTTGAACTAGGCAAAGATTTCTGAAATAGGACCCAAAAGTTTTTATCTTAAAGGGAAGAAATTGATAAATTGGACTTCATTAACACTATGAATTTCTGTTCACCAAAAGGCATAATTAAGAGTGAGAAAAACAAGCAACAAAATGGGAAACATTTCTAGATATACCTATATCTGATATGAGGTTCAGATTCAGATTATATGAAGAACTCTTACTAATCGATAAGATATAGACAACCTAAGGGAAAGAATATGAAGAAAAGACTTAAGAGGCTTTCCAAATGGCTAATAAGCATATGAAAAGGTATTTGTCATAACTACTTTTCAAGAAAATACAAATTAAAATTATAAGCTACCACCAAACACCCATCAGAAACAATAAAAATTTATTAAAGAGCAGTAAAAAACAATAAAAAAAACTTTACCAAAAGTTGGTAAAGACGCAAAGCGACTCTCATGCACTGTGGGTGTGAGGTAACCTGGTACAAACATTTCAGAAAACTACTTGGCAGGATCTGTGAGAGCTGAATGTTCATATACTCCATGGCCCAGCAACTCTACTCCTCGGTAAATACCCAAGAGAGATGAGTTCATCTGTGAAGCAAAGGGCATGAACAACAGTGTCCATACTAACTTGATTCAAAATAACTCAGAATGAAACAAACCAAGTATTTACCAATAACAAAAATGAGCAAATTATGAAAGTTATACAATGGAATATTCACAGCAGTAAAAATAAACTACCGATATACATTAGATGGGTATACATACATAATGTTGTATCCCCAAAAAATAATAGAAATAATGTGATTGATGATAAGGTTTCTACTAGATATCTGAGTGATAACTGGAAAATAACTTTGAGGAAGCACAAGACACTGTTCTTGGTACTCAGGAAGTTATCTGTGGCACAGTCACATGCATATTCCCTTAATAAAAGTTAGTGGAACTATACACTTAAAATTCGTGAGTGTTACTGAGTCTATACTAAACTTCGATTTTTAAAATATATGTATTTTGCCAATGAAAAGCAAGCCTATGAAATCTAAAATGGAAATATCCATCTTCTAAAAGTTTTTTAAAAGTTATTTGTGGGATACAACGGCAACTAAAATATTTCTACAAAGAAATTTGGTAAGGCTACAAGCTTAAATTAGAAAATAAGAAAATTAGACTTAATTTAGTTAGAAAAAGAGTAATCATCATACCCATCCATCCACCAACCAAAAAATAAAGGAAGGCTATATCACAGCAAGAATTAGTATAGCAAGAAATAAAAGTAATTTTAGAGAGGATAACTAGCTGACTATTTAAAAAGACATGAAAGATTACATATGGAAAATATTGGTAAAGTAAAAGACAGAATTAGAAGAAAGTGTTACTAACAGAATGTGGAAGTGGCATCACTACAGAGGAAACAGACTTTAAGAGGCAGCGAACAATTGCCTGGTTTGATGCATGCTGTGGATGCATCTTAGAGTATTGCACTGTATCCCATAAAAATGTATGATTATCACATGTTAATTAAAATTATAAGTACTAAAACCATTTTATAAACTATGAATACCTGTATTGTAATTATACTTGAATACATAAAATAAATGGAAAATAAAACTAAGATATTACTCAAAACTGCCTCAGGAAAAAAAAATCCACCCTATGTTTACTAAAGAAATCAACTAAGTAATGAAAAGTTAACCACCAAAAAGCAGACCAACAAATCACCAGGTTCAGAGAGTTTCAGTCCAAATTCCACCCAACAATTAGGTGTGTTTCTTAATTTGTACAAATTCATTCAGAAAGTAGAAAAAGATGAGACAATCTCCAACTCATTTTATGAGTCTAATGTTACTTTGATACCCAAAACTGGACAAGGAAGTATAATTGATTTCATTCACAATACATATTTTTTAGCTTTTATGAAAATATTAGCAAATTCAATCAAATAATGTACAATTTCTTCTATATTATGATCAAGTTGATCATCCCACAAATGCAAAAATGGCTTGTATGAAAAGGGTCATTCTATGGGTCCGGTGCTGTGGCATAATGGGTAATGCTGCCGCCTGCAGTGCCAGCATCCAATATGGGCACCGGTTCAAGACCTGGCTACTCCACTTCCAATCCAGCTCTCTGCTATAGCCTAGGAAAGCAGTGGAAGATGGCCCAAGTCCTTGGGCCCCTGCACCCACGCGGGAAACCCAGAAGAAGCTCCTGGCTCCTGGCTTCAGATCAGCACAGCTCCAGCTGTTGAGGCCAATTGGGGAGTGAACCAACGAATAGAAGACCTCTCTCTCTTTCTATCTGTATCTCTCTCTCTCTCCTTCTCTTTGTGTAACTCTGCCTTTCAAATAAATAAATAAATCTTTAAAAAAAAAAGAAAAGAAAAGGGTCATTCTATCACTGTTGATAATAGAGAAGAAGCCCCCATCAATGGGACAAATAGATTAACACCTGTGGGAATGAATCAACCAGTGCTACAAGTATGCTACAGATGAATCTTGTAAGCATAATGCAGAGTCAAACATCAACAAGTTGCAGAGCATAATGACAAAAATATTGCATATAATGAAACAATAAATATATGTAACTAACACCTAACTGAAGACAGGGGCACGTCCTGTCTCAGAAGAGGCTGGGACATGCTCAAGGATGGCATTTTCATCTGACCTGTAATGGTTTATTACTCACACAGGGTGGAGGTGGTAAAGGGTATTCAGTGCATTATTCCTTATACCCTTGATACATAAGCCTCAATATTTCACTATCAGTTTTGAAAAGCAAGTTTTCACGTGATAATGAAAGGGTACGTGTCAAGCTTGTCTCCAGGCAGATGACTTTACTCATCTCATTCCCCATCAAATAATGAAGCAATTAAAGGAGATGACCTTTGATGTGTGCTCCAGTCATACTCTTTCAGTCAGTAATTTTATTCTTCTTTGTACCACTGACATTCCCAGAAAGATTCAGGGTCATTGACAGAGCAACTACACTGGGCTTCACAGGTACACAAAAGCTGAAACTCCCACCCTGGTCATCAAGCTCTTTGTCAAGGCAATGTGCCTTTTTCTAATTTGTATCAGGGTTCTGTATAGATTATCATGCTTTGGAGGAAAAGTTCTCTGAAAACAACAGGGCTCCACAACCCAGGGAACACTGGAGCAGCTGTCTGAACCAATGCTGTTGTGAAAATCCTGGAAGGAAGCTTGGCTCTCGACAGATGCATCCGAACCACCCAGGCAACCTAGCGTTTCAGGATTAGGAAATGAACAGATCACATGGCTGCGTTATTTGGACTATGGCTTTATGCGGGCATGGACTCGGACTATGACTATTGTCAGAACAATTATGTTCTTCCTGAGAGCTTTAACTATCTCCTGATGCAAGCCCAGACCTAAAGGACTTAACCCCTTTCCCATGTTTGGGCAGAATGCTCTTTTGGTGAGGACTACTGGAATATCAAGAATACTAGCTTGAAGATACCCTAGGAAGTTATTGGTCCTGTGCTTTTTTTTAATAAAATAAAACATCAGCAGGGAAACTAAAATATGAGTGGAATTTAGTAATAATATCTCGTACTAAACCACCACATCTAGATAAGTAACCAATGTGATCTATTTTCAGAGGCTCAAAGAAGATAAATAACTTGTCCAAAGTAGAACAGTTGTTAAATGACCAAGCCTAAACTTGAACCGAAACCTGTTTAACTTCAAAACCCATCCACCTACTAAGGGAACTTTTCTGTCATTAACCTTTACTAGTTACATCATAGTAGCTATTGTCCAATAAAGTTAGCGCCTCTTCTTAATATTAAGGCTTTATTATTGTTACATGATCCTAGCAACACTATTTGGTTGCAATGATTATTATTGCCTAATAAAAAGTGTCAAGTGTTCCACATCTCTCCCAGCCCTTTTCCCCAGTGAATTCACACCTAAAAAGCTATGTTGAAGATGTGAATCATGTTTCCCACCTCTTTTTCTCCAGTCTTTATTCTTGTGCTGTCTGTGTCTTTTTCAAAGTGAAACACCTGGTAGGGAAAAAATATTATTGCGATGGTCAGAGCACAGAAAGCAAACATCACATTGAATCAGTCAGGAGGAAGTGTATGCCTGTGAAAGAACCCCCAAGGGCATACGTTTATATCCTTGCAAAATCTTGAAAAGGTCTGGGTTGCCCACTTTATCCATTCACATATTCATCGTTGATGTGTCATTTATACCGTGATGGGGATTATGTTGCTTCTCCCAGTACTTTTTACTCTTCATGATATAGCTCTAATTATGAAAGAAATTACTTTTCACAAGGCCATTCACCCAGCCCCCATTCAAAGGGATTTCTAGCATCAGGGTAGAGATGGCATGATGGTATTTGGTGTGAACTTCCTCCATGTCTTTATGGTTCCCTGCACCACAGGTCAAAATGAGCCTGTTTTCCAGGTAAAGATAGATTTACTCCAGAAACAAATCTGTGCATGGGAAACAAAGGAAGCTCCCTACCTTCTGTAACTGCGAGGCAGTGGCTCCTCGGGTCCCTAGGAGGATCATACCAATGGCAGTGGAGATGCCCACGGGGGAAAAGAAGACATTGCCATCGTTTGTTTTCTTCAGCTCTTTGAAAAGAGCAAACCCAAACTGAGTGTTTGCTGCGCCGAGTGAATCCATGATGATTTGAGTGATATCTAGAACAGCAATGAAAGCAATCAAAACCCAGTATTTGAATTGCTGAGTCGCTGAAATTCTCCCACTGCTCTTCCTCTTCCTCTCAGTGAGACATTCCTGATGCCCACTCTCACCCCTTTCCTTGGCAGGAGACAGGAATGAGCTTCAGGCTGGCTTCATCTGGTTGTTCTCCGTTCTCCTTTCCCCAGGGAGCAGGGTTAATGTCTCACTAGTTTTATTCTCACTTGTTCTCTGTCAGAACTTGCCTGCCTCTGCCTCTGCCTCCCAGCCCTTCCTCCTTGTGATTAGCTTCCCCAGGCAGAACCAGCCCTTATCCCTCCCATGTCCAGCTTGTCCAGCTGCTCAGACTGCGACACTGGTCTCAAAGCCAGACAATGGAATTTTAACAATGATATCACCAACAGATGCATCCTCACTGATACTTTCTGTTTCTCTGCAGCTTAAAAATCCAGTCCAGAGAGTAGCAAGATAGATTAACTTTCTTAAGTCTCAGTCACTAGCTTCATTAAAACTGGAATCTATGCTGCATTTTCTCACATGACATACACTGCTCACGGATTATTAGAATGAAAAGATTTCCTTTTTTACTTTTCTCAATTGTTTCAGGATTGTATGGAGAGTTTATATTACCTCTGCTACCTAACAAAAAAAATTTTTTTAAAGAACAATTAATACTTACCAAAATAAATAAGTAGAACATGTTTTGTATTTTCTTTCTCATGAGCTACTTGATAACTAGTTATCAAAAACTTTAAGAAGAATCCTAATATAAGAGTAATATTAACACAGAATGAAGTTTTTGAGAGCCCACATATGTTGGGGTATTTTACTGTCATTGGGCTTAATCCCTGCTAAGGCATCCCCCCGCATCTGCTGCTAGAGATCCAAGGTCAGCTTCAGGGTTCCTTTCAAGTATCCCTGGCCAGTTTACTCAGAAGCAAAATGAATTAACTTACTGTCAAACAAGATGAAAATACATTGTCATGGCCATGTAGGCACTGAATTAAATAAAGGCATCTCATCAAAAGTCTATGTACAATAAAAGTATGTCTTTCTAGTCGACATCAGTATTCTCAAAACAGAGAAGTCTGAAGTTGGAGAAAAAGGAAGAACTTACCTGGCTTCTGGAGAGACAAAACCGTCTGGACAAGGAATGAGGAAACATTTGTAAAATGAGTAGCTGATGTCTTTAATTTATAGGTCTCTCTGCCTCTCCCTACTCATTAGAGTATTTCTAATGAAACAACCTTGGTTTCTCAATGATAATTTCCCTAATAAAATTAATGTGTACAGGCTTCTGACAAAACTGAAGATTTAAGTTCCTATTTTATCTTTCATTCATGGCCATGAAATTCTGCATTTGAAGTTGTCAGCAACTATGTCTTAACTAAAGCTCAAATAGTGTGTACCTTGTACATAGAAGAGGAGAATTTAAATTCTAACTTTCCAAAATCCCTTAGAAATTCTTTTTATGGGGACTAGAGGAGTAAGAGTTCAAGCTTAAAGAAATCCCAATTAACTAACAAGGAAAAAAATAAGACTGAAGATCAAAGCTCAAAGAAGTACTAATGGGAAGAATTAAATCAACAGATCAGATACATTAGGACCCATATGAGAGAGTCTTTAACCCTAATAACACTGGGGATCCATTGGAAAGAACTGTTTGGAGCAGTGAATTTCTACCTTGGATGCATATTAAAATCTCCTAGAGAACTTTAAAAATATATGTATGCTCAAGCCCCACCACAACCCAACTGAGTCAACATATCTGGGATGAGAACCAGGTATCAGAATTTTTATGACCTCAGGTGATTATGATGTACAGCCAAAGTTGAGAACCACCAATTTATGGAATCTGATGAAGACCTGAATTAACCTCATACTTTACTTACCACAGGTAGATGGAGTTGTGTCCTGACAAGTCATTCTCCCTAATAGAGTTAGCTTTGTAGTTATATTATTTTGAATGCCAAACACAAAGATGCAAATGAAGGAAACTATCTTGCTAGAAATGAATGAGAAAAACAAATGAAAAAAGTCTGGGCAGACAAATACATGTGCCCATGCATGTATGTGTGTATGCACACACACAGACACACATACACACACACCATGCTAAGGGCCACTAATTCATAAACACTCCACAACTTCATTGATTTCAGGAAAACAAGACCCAAAACAACAACAACAACAAAAAACTCAATACAAAATTGCACTTTCAAATTCCAGTTTTTCCTGCCAACCCTCGAATATCCGGACTTGCTCTACTAGCTCATTAAAAGAAACAGCACTTGGATCAGACTCAGCTCTCATCTTCACTGAAGGGTGTGGAGATAGCCTTCGTTACGAGGCTACAGCTCCCAGAAGGGCACCTGACCTCTGCCTTCTGCCTATAGAATGACTCCTTAGAGATGTAACCCATCTGTGCAAAGGGCATGTGCAAGGGGACTTCAAAAAGTTCGTGGAAATGGACTGAAAGAAAAGCTCACATTGATGCAAAAAGAATTTGAAGTTCACGCATAGTTCTTTCATGATGTATATTTCCACGAACTTTTTGAAGATCGTTTTCATGCATGGATTTCAAATAATTTTTGCACCAAAATATACATATCTTTCAATTTCATTTCTCCACAAACTTTTTAGAGCCCTTTCATCTAAATATTAAGTAAGGTTTAGAAAGAATTAGTGCTTAGTTATAGAGTTAACCCTGAATGTAAATGAAATGAATGTGTGAGTTTTTAAAAGTAGCATACAATCTTTTTTGAGTGGTTGGTAATACTCCATGTTTTAATATCTAAGAGTTTATGTCTCAAATCTTTCTCTGTGGTCCCTCACTATCCTATTCAATTATCCAGCTCATTCCATGTTTTTCCTAAAATCTTTACCACCTGCTTTCACTGGGAAACTTGGCTTTCCCCTAGGGATCACTACATCCCACAAAGTCTTCTATAGGAACAGCCACACATATCAGGGCATCAGAAAACAAGGTCTCCATTACTGTTCTCCTTCCTACTGTTCCTCATCAGTCGCCTTCAGTGTTCCCTTTGAACACACACCATCTATCTGTGCTGTCCTTTTCTCTGCCACCAGCCTCTCGGGTAGTCTGCCCAGAGTCCTCCTGTCCACCCTACCCTAACAGCTACCACCACTTCGTATTTCTTCACCATCCTTGTCGATGGCATCGCCCACTTCTCTGCTCTTCCCCTTCTTTCTAGAGAAACCCATTCACACTGGCTTGCATCGCCTGTTGTCAGCACCAGGAACTGCTCCTGTTATAAACTGCTGAACACCGAAATATCTCCAACTTGTTACAGATTCTCATTTTTATTTTCTCTAAACCAAATCTTCAGTTTCTTCAAAACCCCAAATCATTCGTCTTCTTATTCTTCTACCTACTTTAGCTTTTCAGCCTCTTCTTTCTGATATCAAAACTGTTTCTGAAATTGAATGTATATTGACGATTAAAAACTGTTTAAGTTGTTCCTATAGTTACAAGTGAGAAGATGATGTGGGTAAGCCCTGAAGCAGAGTACTGATGAGGTTCCCACCCTATCTCATAGCTCACAGTTTGAGTGCAGTCACTGTATCTCTGTTATGAATACTACACTGTTGTAGTGCATGCTCCTGGTGTAACAACCAAATTCCCTTTACCAGCCAGTGCACCTACTACCCAGCTAGGTTTTTGGCTGATAACTCACAGCTGCCCCTTTCTGGGGTAAATGACTCAGTTAAATGGAACCACCTGCCTGAAAGCTGAGTCCCACTCCACTCCTGGCCCCACCCAAGCCAAGGCATACCTAAGGCATGATTCAGTGACATCAGGTCATCAAAGGACAGCCTTAGGTAGAACTAACTCTGTAGTTCCTGCTCCAGACCTCCTCCATGGAATCAGACTGACACCAGTCTTCAGGGAAAAGCACATGACTGATTAATGGTGTCCCCTTGCCCTGTCCTGGTCTCAGAAAAGCAGCTCCAAGAAAAGGAGCAGGGGAAGAAGGAGGAAAGGGCGAGAGGGAGGAGCTATGAAAAGATCTACATAGAAAAAGGTGAACTATAAATTAGAGAAATTAAGAAGGCAAAAGTAAATTAAGGGGCACATTTTACTTGTGATTTGGAAAACTCAGTGTTGTGAACATATCAGTTCTCTCAAAATTGGCCGTTGCAATCTCAATCAAAATCCCAGGCTTCATTTTTCAAATTAGCCAGCTGATTCCAAATTTATAGGGAACAGAAAATGATGTAGAATGTCAAAAATTCTTCAAGAAAAAGGAGGAGATAAGACCTACTCAGTCAAATAGCAAGGCTCATAGTCAAGTAATTAAGCCAGTCTAGCAAAGGATGGGTGAGAACAGAGGCCCTCGAAAAGTACCCACACATATGTGCACTCCTTTTTAAATAAGTGTTGCTCTCTGACCTCAAGAATCAGCCCTTATGATTTCCTTGTGTGGCTGAAAGGCCCATGAGAGCATTTCAGGCATGGAAAGCCAAGACACTGTGGCAAAAAAATGTTCTATATGAAGGATTTCTGTGAGTGAGACCCCAGTGGAAAGAAATGGCCATCAAAGAAGGATGTACTTTTCTCTAAGGGGAAGAGAGAACTTCCACTTTGTTTATGGCCTTGTCCAAATATTGATGGGAGTTTGTGGACTCAAAAGGCTTCCATAGCCTAGGCTACATATGTCATGAGCCTCAGGTGGTCACTGATGTCATACATAAGAGTGTTATTATTAAATTAACAAAAGGAGTTACTGTGCACTAACTCCAATGCAGGACCTCTGTTCTCAATGAGTTGTATTCAGAGCTAACTGTAAAATCAGTTCTCAGTTTTTGTGTGTGTGCGTGTGCGTGTTTGCAAATTGTTGAATTCTTTACTTAGCATAGAGTTGGTCTTCTGTGTACAAAGTTAATTGAAAATGAATCTTAATGGAGAATGGGACTGGCAAGGGGAGAGGGAGAAGGAGGAAGGCTGGGAAGGTGGGTGGGAGGGTGGGTATGTTGGGAAGAATCTATATTCCTAAAGTTATACTTATGAAATTTGTATTCCTTAAAAAAATAAATTTTAAAGAAAAAGCACATGATTTTAAAAAGGCAAAATAAACAAACAAATAAATAAATAAGTGTTGCTGCAGAGCAGTGAGAAAAGACTTGTGTTTTTTTTTTTGTTTTTTTTTTGTTTTTTTTTTTTTGACAGGCAGAATTAGTGAAAGAGAGAGAAAGACAGAGAGAAAGGTCTTCCTTCCATTGGTTCACCCCACAAATGGCCACTACCGCCAGCGCGC